TGTAGAGCAACTTGTTTGATCTTGAACGAAAAAGAGTGGCCAATGAGAACCTCCCTGCAGCTTGTGAAGTAGTAGTAGTAGTAGTAGTGGAGCTATTATGGTCTTCCTTCACGCGGAGTATGGTGAGCCCTATTTCTTTCCTAATTGCCTCAATGGTTTCCTTTGTGACGGGATACCCAGATGCGTCGGTCACATAGAAAATATTAATGGCTTGAATCCCGATTGTTTTTACGTCAGCTCGAGTTACTGAAAGACCGTGTTCTCTGAATATGCGAGTCACATCAGATAAGAGACCAACCCTATCCTCACTACACAGTTCAAGTCTTATTCCCTGCATTAGTAGTGTTACACACACATCGGGTTATAATACAGAAACATATATTATACAATAAATAAATAAACAAATTTGTTAGGAACAAGTGGATTTACCACTATTAACAAGGATTATCTTTTTATTATTATATTATATAATGTATTGGATAGTGGGCCAAATTTGGCTATAAAAAGGTGATGGATACATTGCAATTTATGTACATACGAAAGTGAAGAAGAAAGAAAGCATTCTGAAATTTATCCGGTTTCTATATATTGTGTTCTTTATATTGCTCGCATTTTATAACACGTTATCAGCACGAACGCTCTACCCGGTCAAGAAAGGTAGGATACATATACATATTACCATTATTCTTGACAAGTTAGGCTCTGCCACAGTCAAGGATATATATACATATTGCTATTATTTTTGACAAGTTAGGCTCTGCCACAGTCAAAAATATATATATATTACTATTATTCTTGACAAGTTAGGCTCTGCCACAGTCAAGATATGTATACCAAATATGATATTATTTACAAATTACCATTATTATTGACAAATTAGGCTATGCCATAGTCAATAATATGTGGTGATATGATATTATTAAATTTGCTTATGAATTATTTTTCAAGTTATAATAAATGTTATTATTTATACTTAACACCCACAAAAATAGTTTACCCAGTAATGTGGCGTGAAATTTATAACTACTTATTCTTGTACCTACCGAAAGATTTATCGAGTAGTGTGGAATGACATTTTTATTTGATTTGTTATTTATTAAATTGTTTGCGTAATGACTCGGTAAATTTTTAAGGTAAAATACATGATTAAATAGAATTTTTTGATCATAAATGATTAATTAGCAAATATTATATCATTAAATTTGTTTCCAACGGCT